GAGTAAGTGGAGAGGGAGAGAAAAGAGAAAAAGGGAAAGGAGTGTGGGCATAGGTATTTTCCCTATATCATACCGAATTGAATTGACGATTGAAAAAATCAAAATCCTCCACCTGAGCATTTAGTTCCTATTTGAAAGTAAATTAAGGACTGCCCCCCCTGGCTCGCGTTACTCGTCACCGTCATCTGTGTCGTTGTCGTTTTTTTTTTCCTTTATTCGTTTTGATTTATGATAATTATGTGAAATTATAATCGGATGGTTGGTCATTTGAAGTTAAACCGTTCGAAACCCAATGATAAGTAGATCAGCTGCCTTCCTCGTCTTCATCTTCAGCCTCCGTCATCTCGCGTTGTCTTCGGAGCTCCTCCTTGATGAATTCTATGTCTTTTGCAAGGCTGACGTGCCCGTTCTCCTGCCATCTCTCCAAACTCCAGTGAAGAACATAAACGCTGCACTAGAACGTACAATGGCACATTTTAAGTCATCAAGGACTTAATGAAATGGGGCGAGAAGAGCTCACCTTGAAGTACCGCCTATGAGCGTATTTTTTGTACAGCGACTCGTGTTGGATAGGGTTGGTTATAACATACTCCACCATGATGCTTGCCACCGGGATGAGCTCTTTCTCAGAGTAGGTGGTGTAATGCTCGAGATTAGGAGTCTAAAGGGATGACGTCAGTGATTTTAACGGAATAACGGACTTGTGGCATACCCATTCTTCTCGGCCAAGGATTAGTCTGGCAAGCCAGAGGGAGGCAGCAGAGAGCAATGACGGGACGAGACAAACGAGGCGTCGTTCCACTAGACCAACTTCGAGCAAATACTTGGCGATGGTACGTGCTTGCACTTCACAGTCATCAGCTTTACTACCGCGTCTCAGCCACCCCATGGGACCAGGAGCGCGTAAATCCCATTGTAGAGTCTTGAGGATATACCTCTCTGCTTTAAGGATTTCTTCAACAGTGCATCGCTTTTCTGTCATGATCACGAGTTCCTTGACGGAAGGCGCGTAGGTTTCTTCGAATTTGGTAGCAATGAAGAAAGATGCGACACCAACAAGTTGGAGCTTCGAGATAGAGATGGGACGCGACGCGAGGAAACGGTCGAGGACGTTGATACAAAGGAAGAGGGACTCTGCGAGGAGATTGTATCTGGCGTGAAGTTGCAAAAGCCAGTCGACGAGAATGCCGCGATGCTCCCAGGTTATTTCTTCCTGGTTGTTCATGTAATCTGCTTTGGGGAGAGTAGCAAGCTGAAAAAAGTAGAGAAATTTTCAATTTATAAACGAGGCATAGGGGAGGATGCAAAGACGCGTACTTCAATTTCCTTTAGGTAAACACAAACTTCTGCGACGTACTCGCTGACCATAACGGGGTCATCCCAGTCATCGGCGTCCAAATCATCCCATAGTTGAATATCAGAAGGTTCGACAGCCTCAAGTTCGGCGGCTACCTTGTCGGCCTCGACTTGAGAATCGTCCAAGGCTTTTGCATGGATGACGGGTTTCTCGTCGGTGTGACGTCTTTTGAAGACGCGTTGACCCTCCTCCTCGTCGTCCTTGGGTGCGTCCTTGACGTCATGCTGAGTGTCGTCGATTTCCATCTCCTCAATAACATGGTGGAGCGATGGTTTACTGTCTACAATGGGTTCGGGTTCGCGCTTGAAAACAGGGATGGCGCTGGTTGTACTACTTGCGCTTTCACTGGTGGCTCTGGTCAATCTCTTGGAGGCAATGCCAGTTGCCGTGCGCCTAGATGGAGGTTTAATGACCTGCTTGGGTTTCACGACGGTCTCCTTGGGCTTCTCGACATCCTTGCCGTTGACCCCTGTCGTCCTGTGTCCTTTGGTCTGTTGTTGGAGACCAAGCTAGTGAGCTCGACCAAAGCTTCTCGTTTCCTTTTGACCCCGGTCTCCTTCTCGTCTTTCGGCGCACCAGCAACGACTGACTTGGCTTTAGAGGCCGCAGTGGCAGCCGTTGCGCGGGTAGTCACGGAAGTGGCTGTGGCACCCAAGGTGGACTTTGCCCGAGAAACTAACCGGGATGGACGCGCGTTGGCGTTTTCATTGTCTTTAGTTGAGCGCAATGCTCTTGTGGTCCTCCTCACCTAGAGAGACGCGTAGTGATTAGTGGCCGGATACCGGAATGATGACGAAAATTACGTACTGGGATGGAGGACATGATCCTCCTCGTCGGAGGGTTAGTAGAAGAAAAGAGTTAGTCGGTGAATGGTTGAGGAGGGTATCGCAATGTGAAATAAAATCAAAAGGCAAGTCTGGGATGGCACTCTGAACAAGAAGAATGCATCGATGGCCTGTTCAAATTTGGACGGAAAAATACACGTGCAAACAAATCAAACGCGTCGCCCACGTGCTTTCGCGCTTATTTGACAGGACGCATCTATGATGTCAAGGTTTGGGGCATAGTACGTCTGCACTACCACACAGTTCCAATGACCGATTACATTCGAAGGATTGTCTCCGGAAATAGAGCTCGATTCAAGGACAACAGTCTCAATCTCGAGCTCGGTATGTCCGTTCATCGTTCTACAGACATTTCGTATCTCATCTTCTATGCAGATCTGACCTATGTCACCGACCAGGTCATCATTATGGGCTACCCAGCCTCGGGCATTGAGGCATTATATCGCAATAGTCGCCATGATGCGAAGCGATTCCTGGAGCACAGGCACGGAAAGAACTACTGGGTCTTCAACTTTTGTCCGTTGAAGGAGAATTCTTACGACCCCGAAACCTTTGACGGAAGAGTCAGTCGATATCCTTTCCCAGACCATCAGTGGGTCACTCCGTTACTCGCGAAGTCTGAAATGATCTAAGAGGATGACACAGCGCACCCCCTCTGGCTCTAATACCCCTAGCCGTACGGGAGATACGTACATGGCTCCAAGGCTCTTCAGATCGTGTTGCAGTACTGCATTGCAAAGGCACGTCATTCTCTCCAGCAAATATCATTGCTGCTAACTATCACCGTTCCTTTAGCTGGGAAAGGACGGTCTGGAACCATGGCCTGCGCATACCTGCTGTCATGGAAGACAGTCCAGTACCTCCAAAGCTGGAACGCAGCTATAACGCAAAAGAGTGGGCGAAGAGGCGTATGGAAGATACACTAGAAATCATGCCACCAGACAATGAACCACACCAGACTAAATCGGACACCACAAAACCCCTGTCGGCCTTCCAGCAAAAAGCTACGATCCCTTCTGACACCGAAGGCCTTCTCGACGTTGAATCCGGCTCATCACCACCTTTCGTAATACCCAACCCAGAGAAATCATTCACTGACGCCCTGAAAGGAGTACTTGACCTTCACACCGCACGCCGCATGAAAGCCCTGTCTGGTTACAACGGGGGTAAAGTTTCCCAAGGAGTTAGCATACCAAGCCAACGGCGATTCCTCTACTACTGGGCTCTCGTGCTAGCTCGAGAAGCGCCTAAACACTTCTGGGCTGTCGAACCACCTCGACCACAAGTCAAAGACGGCGGTCAGCACGACACCCCACTTGAGGAGAGCAAGGCCCCACATCCGAAGGTTAGGTTAACGCAACTCAAGCTCCGTATGCGCGAGACGTCAGGCATGAAGATGAACATCCTGAAAGCTGCGAACTTGGTAATTGAGCGGACGAGCTTGGCCAAAGGACCTGCGTTTAGCGATCCCAAAAATAAAAGGGCTGATGGGGAGAAATCGCCTCATTCCCCTCATATTTGGGCGTCTTTAGCAAGGTATGACGATGGCCTTGTCGATTTACTTGAAGAGTGGGAAGTGTATACGAGGGACTTGAATGGACATTTCGGGAAGCGACGACCTGGGTCTCATCACCGTGCCGGAAGCGAGTCGAATGAGGAACTGCATCTTAACCGGGCGTTTACGACTGGTACATGGGACAATGGAAAGATGGTCAAGAGCTTTGCTCATTTGGCTGCGGTAAATGGAGAAGAGGGAAAGATTGTGGATGATAAGGTTCCTATTTTCGCCTCCCTTCTAACCATCAATTACTGATTAACATTTGAACAGGAGGGCAAAATCCACATATACACCCTACAGCCACTCTCCGACAAGCGATGGGAGAATCTCAAACACGATATACATGTCAAAGGCTCGCACGACAGTCAAAAGCACGCCGAAACCGAAGAAGCGATCGACGAAAACGCCAATGTCACTGGAATATCGCGTTCGGAGGCCAATTCTATGTACGACCTGACTGGCATCACCGAAATGCAGAAGGATGAAATAGTTTCTAATATGGCTTTTGGAGCGGGTTTGGAGCCTGGTGTCATTCTTGATGCGGGGAGGGAGTTACGGGTGAAATTGTACATGGGACAGGTCGGCCTTCCCTGCTTTTCACTTTATTTCCAAAATTTAAAGAATCATTAGGTCTTCATGGGATGGTTTTGGTTCATACCCACGTTCCATATGCCCCAACCTCCACCCTCTTCATCTGCTAGCTTACCTTCTACAACAAAAGCGAAGGTCATCCTCACACGGAAAGACCTCGATTTCGCCCTGGGCATCGGGAGCAGCATCATCGACGTAGAAATCGAGATGGAATGGGTCGTGCCTCCCTCTCCCGTCTCTTCCGCTACTACCCCAGCCACCGAACCTGACCAGACCTCGAGCTCTCGACTTCGAACCCGTTCTTCGATACGGCAACAGACAGGCACAGATCAAGAACCTTCACAGAATGCGATAGCTACGGCGCTTCAGATGGTGCTTGATAGCAGTGTCGAGGGCGGAGTTAAAACTGAAGAGGTTAGGGAAATTATTGAGGCCAAGCAGGGTGATGCGGATTAAATGATTGATGATATTGATTCGTTCGCAATGGAAGGGCGCAATTCCAATATTGAGTGGAATAAGTATATTGTCTTTTATGATGATTTATGTTTCCAACTGATCTTACGAGCAGTTTCCCCTTAGTTTTCGTTGCAACTTTTTTGCCACCCAAACACTGTTACGAGATAATGTGCTAACCTATCAAATTAGCATGTCTCTGTTAGTATATCGGTTAGTACACGCGCCTGTCATGATTATGTCGCGGTCGCGCGAAAGCTGGGTTCGACTCCCAGACAGAGAGCTCAGTTGATGACTTTAAGTTTTTTGGTTTTATTTTCACCATCTCGCGACGTCGACATGCTGCGGGAACAACTGTTGCTTGCCTGAGACCCTATTATTCCAAGGGAACTCGGATACAAAACTGGCCATTTTAGGGGAAAAATAGGTTGACAAAATTTCACGTCTATAAAACCCATTTTTGGGTGGATTTCATACCTGACTCAAAATTTTAGGTGGACTTTGTATCCAAGTTTAAAAAACTGCCTGCCATGTCATGATACAATAAAAAAAGAGGGCCCTTCCTGGCGTATTTCCCATAACATAGCACACATGTTTTATGTGCATTGACGATGCCAAATTCAGAACACGGTGGTATATAATAGCCGCTTCCCTTACCTGTCTTGCCGCTGTCTTTGCTATATGTAAGATGGGCTTGATGACTGAAGATTGGATTGAAATAAAGCAGAAGAATGCACCTGCAGGGCTCTCGAAAACTTAACTTCATGAGCAGCTTGACCTTCTGACGAACTCGCATGTGAATCGGCTTCTATCCTAGTCTCTCGTAGACGGACGTCGATCTATCTGATGTGCCATAGGGGTTACGATATAATGACCTTCTATCCACTGTCTACTCGAAGAGTGCCATTTGGTTCCATAGCGGCTGAAGAATCCCGGGAGAGGTCGCCGGTTCGATATTTTATGCCGATATAAATAGAAACGATGCATTGCGAGCTCCTTGCCCTACGACTCCCATGTTCGACCTTCCCAAAAACGGGATTAGACTGCGAGCCTTTCGTCAGAGTGATCTGGACGACATCCTGGCTTTACACAATGATGCCGAAGTCGCGCTATATGCAACAAGTGGATTTGCCGTACCCCAAGGGGAGACGAGGAAGGAAAGCTATAAAAACAACGCAGAAAAGGCTGAGTTGTTTTGCGTCGCCGAGACTAAACCATTTGAGTCGTCTGCCTCGGATAAACCGGAGTTCATTGGCATCGCCGCATTATGGCCCGACCAAGAGCGTGGTCAGCGGCACTCCCGCTACTCCATCACGCTCAATAAGAAATTTTGGGGTAGAGGATACGGTTCCGAAATTACGAAATTCATGGTCGACTACGCATTCCGTAACCTCAATATGCATCGCATCTCTCTCGGCGTCATTCAGGGGAATGATAGAGCCCTTTCAATCTACAAAAATTGGTAAGAGATCCTAAAATCTGACCTCCTTAAATTATAAGGTGCTTACTGTGCTTGAACCATCCCCTAGCGGTTTCGTACTGGAAGGTACACAACGAAAGTCAAATTGGATCGACGGCGGGTGGAGAGATGTGTACTTAATGGGTATGTTGATTGAGGACTGGGTCGACTGAAGCTGTGAGCGTTGAATGATCTAGGGTCGATTTTCTAAGAATAGACTCAATTCACGACTCGTCACGGCACGTGGGGCACTTGCTCCTTGCACCACCATCCCGATGTCAGCGAACTCGGTTTAGGACGATATGACTCCTTGTACAGTTTCTGACCTTCTCTGACTCACTCTTCTGGTAATTCAAGACGTGCTATTGGATCTCTGCCAACTTCGAGTTCTCCAGAATTGTACTGAACGCTTCCGAGATAACTTCGGACGAGCCGCGATGTAAACGGACGAGTCAGGTGTCTGTCGCATTCCCCATGGGCAGGCTCCATGATGCATCTGCTTAGAGCCAGGAGATGAACGGTTTAAAAGACTGGAATTCAAATTGCAAAAATCAAAGCATTTCTCAACTAAACGACCATGTTCGACCTCAAATGCGGTATTCAGTTACGCGCCTTCCAAACCACGCCCACAGATGACCTTGAAGGCATCCTCTCTGCATACAACAATACTGAGGTTGCCCCGCAGATAACTGAGCGCTTCATCATTCCACGAGGCCAAAAGCTCAAGGATGAATTCAAAGAACTCATTGAAACAAAGGCAGAAATGTTCTGTACCATCGAAACCACACCACCTAAGACGCAGCTCGAAGGAGATGAAAAACATGAGCCTCGCTATGTTGGATTTACAGCGCTCTGGGCCGCCCCACAACCAGGACAGCGATATTCAAAATATTCAATTGTTCTACTACCCGAATTTTGGAACAAAGGCTACGGCCAGGTTATCACTAAGTTCATGGTCGATTATGCGTTCCTTAATTTGAACATGCACCGAATATCACTGGAGGTGTATGAAGGGAATGACAGAGCAACGGCGGTATACAAAAAATGGTGTGTCGACACCGCCTCTCCTGAAATTGTAATATGCTCATACACATGCACAATGCAGTGGTTTCGTTGAAGAAGGTAGGTTGAGAAAGGTTACCTGGGTCAATGGAGCTTGGAGGGATATCCACTTGATGGGTATCCTTGCCGAAGAGTGGACTGAACTGCGGAAGCTGGAACAACAGGAACTTAGTGGCATGACTCCGAGGGATGTAAAATGAATATATTACAAGTGTCAGTGGTGCTATGATTTTATCCAGAGTTTTTTGTTGCCTACGAGGTAATCTTTTAAGCTTTTGCGTCCGACAATGACTCCGCTGCCCTTCAATATACCTTCCTCATATCCTTCCGCAATTTTGGCTTCCATGGATGTTAGCATAGACGCATAATCTGATGTTAGCCCAAACCCCTCCCAAAATACTTTCGAATCTTGATGTATCAAACGCTTGTGGCTTATCTTCCTACCAAGCAAGTCGGTCAGAAGCCCAGCAACCTGCAGAGAGCGCCCAAGTTACCATCACAATTTTTATAATAATTGCGTAGGACCAGTTACCTCGTCGTACGAGTACAGTTGAGGGCCTACCACGAAGAACTCTGTATTGGGACTCTTATCAGAAACCAGTGCATCATAGGCAGCTTTGGCAATGTCGTCGACACCGACGAATGCAACACGACCATCTTCAGCGACAGTGGGGATCTCATCCTTATCTCGGATACTTGACAAATAAAATGTTCCAGAATTGTCTGTCACCCACATGCGTAAGACTCGTTTTATTGTGGAAGAATTCAGATTCATACCTGTAAACCACGTCGGTCTAATAATCGCGTAGTCCACTCCAACGTCAACGAGGTATTCGTGTACTTTTCCGTCCACAATATCACCTTTATCCATAGTACTAGAACTACCGTGAACGAACCGCTTTACGCCTTTGGAAATGGCGAGGTCGATGAAAGGTTTAACGGTTGGGAGGGAATCAAAGATCGGAGGTGCAATGAGATAGATTTTGTCGATGTTGGGATCGGCCTTGAAAGGGTTTTCAAAAGTCTTCGCTTCGGACCAATCGAATTTGACGGATCTGAAAGGGGCGGGGGCCTTGCCAGAGCGTGAGGCAAGTAGTATGGAATGATCATTCTCGTGCAGAAGCTGAGCTAGTCGAAAGCCTGTCTTTCCCGTGCCACCGGTGATGAGAATCGTCATTGGATTCAGAGAAGGCGTATGAGAGAATGTAGTTAGAAAGGTTATTATCAAATAGACCAGAGCAGAAGCCTCCGACACTATATATGACAATCCCTAGGCGGAGGTTAATAGCGTTTCGCATGAATATTGTTAGTACTACTGCTTGGGTATTGGTAATATACCAGCGCTTTCAAATTCATTACTCAGGTGCCAAGGCCAGAAGCCCAGACTGACCAATGTTGAAAGTATGAAGGACAGGGCGATCAGCACGGCCAAAGCACTGAGCTTCTATTCCCGTCTCTGACAGCAAGTTCAGTCAGGAATAGAATATGCATTCAATATACAGCAAGCGAAAAAAAAATACCTATTGGCGGCAGCTGTATTGCGAATGGATCTAAGTTGCAGTTCGCCAAGATAAGTCCAACATCCAAATTGGGAGAGGTCAGGCAAAACTACCTTCGAGAATTGAGGTCTGAAAGGTTCTCCTTAAAATGAAGGAGCGTCTGCTAGTGAACATCATACCATCCTACCCATCCCAACCCAAAGCACATACAGAGGGAGAAAAGCACAAATCAAGCACATATAATAATCATCCAATTTTGAACCCACAGTCGAGTTCTTACTCATTCGACGTTTGACCGTTCTAATCCTGCTGAGTGTCAGACACTTGAGCCCCAGTAGGAGTCCCACAAACATCACATATCCTCCAACCTCTACAGTTGTGAGGGTTCATCTTTTCTATGACTTTGGATCGGACGACGTTGAGGCATGGGGGTGTTCCACCAAAACAGGTTTGTATGCAGGGATATAACCAGCACCAGAGTGAGTGTTGTCCGGCTGAGACGCAACTTGAACACCAAGACCGTACTAAGTAGGGTTATTTGGTTAGATTTACTGTAAAGCCTGTAAAGCCAGATATTTTTATCACGGACCCGAGGATGGCATCCCGGAACACATCAGAACTCGTCCAGTTCTGGGCTAGGCGTGATGTGATTGCAACATGAAGGTAACCGAGCTTGCGGAAAGTAGTGATGCCGCGAGTTGGAGTTAGCTCGAGTCGATTTGAGCTCGAGCTTGATGGGAAACCTCATTAGGAAGTCGAGCCGAGTTCAGCTCGAGCCACCTCGTGATGCTCGTCTTCCAAAATAGGTCAAACTGTCATCCGATGCCGTACACCGTGTACTGCGGCAAACAGGTGGCCGAGTTCTTTGCGCTTTGACTGCTTCCACCATCTCACAACGTCGCCGACGCTCTGCACGATCCCTTCCCCTTGATTCCGAACCTATTTCCCTCAAGATTTCGGACACGCAATCCATGAGTCGGTTGCATGTGCCACCGTTCCTCACTTTGCCCTTTCTGGGCATGGTCTCCGGTGATGGAGGCGCAAACACGACGCGTCGGGGACCGCGCCATGGACCGCGCCGTTGATTGTTGAGCAGGATTGTTTATGGTGGGCTCGGAGGTATAAATTGGAGTGGTTATTGGAGGAAGAGTATCATAGGCCTTGTGGATGCTGTGTTCTTGTGGCAGTCCTCACATGATCGCAAGGCAGTAGAAGATGAACTGCATGCTTATGAAACTGCTGGAGTTCTCAAGGATGAAGAAT